TGGTTCCCCATAGTTGTCCACCAGCCCCTACAAACATGTCAACGGCAACTAATTGGCGCAGTTTCCGATGACCTTAGAATGCACATGGCTGGCGGGTGAATAACCAATAGTCTACATACAAATAAGCCAGATCTGTAAAACGGATGTGCACATACAATTTAAGTTCTTAAAGAAGACAGAAGTCCAGAAGTGGACGAAATATCGGTACTTTTTGACAGTGTACAGCCCGTGAACACTAAGAAGAAGAAGAAGCAGAAGAAGCAGCAGAAGAAGACAAAACGGTAAATACATAAAAGTCCCATCTCTCTGGATCCCGCTTGTCTAAAGAAAATTGGCTAAAATTAACACACAAATTTCAATAATAATTACTTAGCAAATAAAGAAACAAGGTCATATCTGCTTGAGAAACCAACATATTAAAATGAAAAAAAAAAAAATAAGTAAAAATTACTTATCATAGAAATAAAATTAAGTCAACTTCGACTGAGATGTAGAGGGTTAGAAAAAAATACAATGATTTCAATTATAATGCCTAGTATAACAAAGACAAATCACATTTGTATAAGATTACAGGAGTTGGAATTTTCATTCCCCCTCTGTGGATTTTGATTTGATTTGATTTGATTCAAGAATCGACATCACAACACTCGGGGCATTCCCTTAAGCGCTCCGTCCCCATCTTCAGCAGCCAGCGAAGAGTTCCGATACTAATGGTGCCAGCAGCTTTCTGATTAAACGTCCGTCTTGCCTTTCCTCTGAGCCTTGAGCTTCTGCCAGAACCTCTCGTCACCCCCAACTGCATTAATCTCACCAGACTGTGGTGATCCATCTGCTCCTCCGCATTGTACACGCTCTCCCACAGGGCACTAACCACGTCTGCCCTATCATGTAGCAGTATTCCACCAAGTTGTGCAGAGCCGGTCAGTATGTCCGTCTGTTCGTTTCCCAACACACCTGCGTGACCCGGTGAAAAAAATCCAGACAATACTCCTCACTCGTGTCCTCCGCAGCGAAGCATGCCACTCTGCACGAAGCATACCTGTTCTGATCCTCCTCAGCATGCTTTCTGAATCAGTTACAATTACAATGTGTGTGTGAGTGTCGTGTTCTCTAGCTAGCGGAAAGCTGCAGTGACCGCCTCCACCTCTATTCTTGAGCTGGATGTTGTGGTATCATATGCTAGGCTCTCCTGCATCAAAAGTCGACCATTAACTTTTGCTAAAAAGCCCTAAGCACTTCTTTTTCCTCTTGACACTGAACCGTCTGTGTAAATGATCAAATCCTCTGAGCGTGCATTATCTTGAATAAATTGCTGAATTTCCACCTCTGTGGCACCTGCTGGCCAGTCTCTGCATTCCTGGCTCAGCGTGATTATGACTTTACACAAGTCTCACTGCTCAGATGGCACTTTGACCCACTCCTCTCCTCGCCTAATGTTCTCATGGATGCAAACCTGTCTGATTGTGTTCCCCCTCTGTGGTCGCATTGATAAGGTAGTTTTGAATGTTGTATTGTAATTACAGCTGGGTTAAATGCGCCTATCGGCCCAATATCATATCTCAGCGAATCCGTAATCAGTGATGTTCTATGACATGCTGTTTCAGGGACAGTGCGTCTGTTCTTTACTTTTGGGGGGGGGGGAGGGGAATGGGCCCCCCAGAACCCACACATGGAAATGCTTCACTAATTTTCTTAACAAGTGTGACATGATAGCTTCAAGTTTCATCTCACACCTTTTCAACAGAATAATAGCAAAATCAGTTCTGTAAATCTAACATTATCTGCACTTAGGGAGAAAGTAGTGATCAGATGCAATGTTGGTCTTCTAACCGTGAATACACAACACAGGTAAATATCCGTAGACAATAAAGAAAATGTTTAAAAAAGCTGAGCTTACCAAACTTGCCCGTATGCGCCACTGCCTATCGGTGTTAGCCTCTTGTATCTCACAGGTACATCCCAGGACGTGCTAACGAGTTCAGTGTGGTAGAAACCAGGCTTTAAATCGTTCCCAAGCAACTTCTTAAACATGGTATAAAACAAGTCTGCGCTCCTCTTTCAGAAAACCTGACAACACTAACTGTTGGACGAAGAAAAAAGTTCACAACACTTCTCAGTAGTTGATTAAACGTGTCGTATGGTCCTCTTACGAACTGAAACATCAGGCAGTTACCGTACAAAATCCGTCCACTGGTTTCCGTCTTCCACTATGAAAATTTCCCGCTACTGACGTCAGAGTGCGTCACCCAGTGACACACTTTGCAGCTCGAGACAGGTTGGTCCATGCACGCAGAACAACAGGATCGAAATGCTGCGCCGAGTGCGGCTTTCTTTGTGGGGTCTCTCTGTACTTGGGATGCACCGCTGGAAGGCCGAAAATCACACTGAAAAACTCTAGTCGGCAAACTGTGCTAAACAAACACTGCCATATTACGTGGCTACTGCAGTAGGCCGTTTAACCAAGGCCTCCATTAAAATGCCGAATTAAAATACGGAACTGGAGCGTGACTGGGTGATAAATATTCTTAGAATTTTTTTACGGAAACAAGAGGAGTAGGGAGGAATTATAAATAATAACAGTGTAAAATTGATGTCAAAATATTAGAGAAGCCGTACTGGGGGGAGGGGGGGGGGGGAATATAATAATATTCCCAGAAATTACCATAGATTTGAACAGAAAGGGAGGAAAAAAAAGCAGTGGAGAGAAATAATAAGTGAACATGGGCGTAAAATTAGTGTATTTTCTTATAACGCTTATAGAGGAATAATTATAATGCTATCAGTTTTCTTCTTCTTCTTCTTCTTCTTCTTCTTCTTCTTCTTCTTCTTCTTCTTCTTCTTCTTCTTCTTCTTCTTCTTCTTCTTCTTCTTCTTCTTCTTCTTCTTCTTCTTCTTCTTCTTCTTCTTCTTCTTCTTCTTCTTCTTCTTCTACTTCTTCTTCTTCTTCTTCTCCTTCTTCTTCTTCTTCTTCTTCTTCTTCTTCTTCTTCTTCTTCTTCTTCTTCTTCTTCTTCTTCTTCTTCTTCTTCTTCTTCTTCTTCTTCTTCTTCTTCTTCTTCTTCTTCTTCTTCTTCTTCTTCTTCTTCTTCTTCTTCTTCTTCTTCTTCTTCTTCTTTCTTCTTCTTCTTCTTCTTCTTCTTCTTCTTCTTCTTCTTCTTCTTCTTCTTCTTCTTCTTCTTCTTCTTCTTCTTTCTTCTTCTCCTTTTTCTACGGCCACCTATAAAAAAGCGGCTGACATGCTGGGTTATAGTTTACAAATAAATTGCGATATCTGCACCCTTTAACCCTAGGCTCTCTGATCAAACCAAGCTAAAACAGGCACAAGCACATGTCCCGGACTAAAAGCGGCCACCGTAATGTTGACCACATCACCAATCGAGTGTCCAGTTCTCAACCTGCTGGTCGCGACCCTTTTGTTGGTCGAAAGACAATTTCACAGGGGTCGCCGAAGATCATCGGAAAACACATATTCATAGAAGTTATAGAGTAAAGTTAGTTGCGTATCCTTAACAGGACGTTGCAAAACCAACCCCAGCATTTTTTGACTGATGTTGTTTTTCTAGGCACATTTACGTCCAGTAGTTTGCCATTGCTTTCTGGAGGTAGGCTTCTCGATACCACTGTCGAAACCAACGCAAGGCGCAAGGCCAGCAATTGGGATCGAACCTGGGATCCCAGCATTACGGAGCTCGTTCCCAACACCTAAGTCGCAGACGTCAACAGTTATGAAATAGTAACGACAATAATGGTATGGTTGGGGGTCGCCACAACGTGAGGAACTGTATCAAAGGGTCGCGGTAGTAGGATGGCTGAGAAACACTGACCTAGGAGCTAAGGTCACTTTCGGGGAAAATGTGACTCGACGCTGATTTGCGTCTTCTTCGTCTTGTTGTTGTTGTTGTTGTTGTTGTTGTTGTTTTTCTTCTTCTTCTTCTTCTTCTTCTTCTTCTTCTTCTTCTTCTTCTTCTTCTTCTTCTTCTTCTTCTTCTTCTTCTTCTTCTTCTTCTTCTTCTTCTTCTTCTTCTTCTTCTTCTTCTTCTTCTTCTTCTTCTTCTTCTTCTTCTTCTTCTTCTTCTTCTTCTTCTTCTTCTTCTTCTTCTTCTTCTTCTTCTTCTTCTTCTTCTTCTTCTTCTTCTTCTTCTTCTTCTTCTTCTTCTTCTTCTTCTTCTTCTTCTTCTTATCTTTTTCTTCCCGTTCACCGGCAGTAAACTCCCTCCTGACTGACTAACGTTCAACTCACCAGGACATACAACCCAACGATAAATACCCGGTGACACAAAGTGCCACCGTTTAGATGAGGATAAGCTGTGGACAAGTCCTAAAAACCAAGTTCAACCTATAGTTTTGGGTTATATTAGGCTCCCGGGCAACAACCAGGGTGGGGCTTTAAAACAACAACAATGTGTCCTCGTCATTCGGGCGCAGCTCACACGATGTTAACTCCCGCGGAAATTTCTGATTGTTTGTCCACCTCCGGTCTTTATTCTTTTTTCAGAATTTGAGTGTTGTATGCAAATCTGTTTCACAGATCTGACTAGTACGTATGCAGGCTCTTGGTTCCTTGCCTTTCAGACCTATGTACTCCGACTTCAAAGGGTGCCCCCAATTAGTCAACTTCTCATGAGGAACTGTATTGAAGAGATGCGGCATTAAGAAGATTGAGAACTACTGGTCTACACTTAGCCGCCTTTAGGGCAGGGTAGGGCGAGAAAGGGCGTGCTAGGGAGAGTGCCTGTGACATGTTTAATTTTTCCACACAGATAACTCCTTTTCTAACTGATGAATTATTGATCTCCTTACTTCCCCTGTTATGCTGCACAAAGGACACACTAATGACCTGACCTGACACCGGAAGCAGAACTATAGGCCACTTTTCAGCCAGCAGACATAGGTAGTTGTGGAAGCTAGTGTCATCTCTCCGCAAGTTTCTTTAATCAAACAACTCGCGTCTCATCACTTTTTGCAAGCTTATTCTTGGCCAGGCATTTGCTGAATGGAGTAATGGCTGAGACAGCACCTCGTAAACCAGGACTTGTGACAGTGGAGTTGAATAAAACAATATGGGAGGTGCCGAATCGCTACACTATACAGAACCCCGTCGGAATTGGGGCATACGGCCAAGTTGTGTAAGTAGTTCTGTATTGTACTAGTGTCATTCTGCTTTCGCATTATATTTTTTATTTATGTATTTCGAGGCGTACGTCACTACTAGTTTATGTGAATTTATTGAATACAGTCATCATCTGGCAGAGTTTCGTTCATTTGTGGAGTAATAGTATGAATCTGTTGTCAACTCTTTGCACTTTACGTCGTACCAAGGGGTTTAGCATCAGAGGCCCAAGGGGTAACATAGTAAAACTAAAAACAGACCATGCTAATTCAACGACCTCACCACATACTATACATAAGAGTGACTAAATATTGTTGAGGAATACTGTTAGAGTCCTGCTACAAAAATAAAATAGGACTAGTTAATCATTCACAAATAAACAGATTGTATGTTTAGAGAAATTAGTTAAAAAAATAAAAATTAATCTTACCACCATGGCACTCAGAGAAAGCTCGATAAGATATATCCAAAATGAATCACAGGTAAACATGAAACACTTAGTAGTGTGTAAATAAAATATGAACAAAATCTGTCAATTAGCTCTCGATCCAGAGAAACTTTTAGAACATCATAACAGGGCACAAGTATTTGGTAAAGAAAAATTACCTCCGAAAACAATTGGTATTTCCACAAAAAACAAACCTTATATCACACTCAGTTTGCCCGTAATTTTATAGCCAATGTTCCCAAATAATAACAGAGTCACACTAGACCTAACTTACACTAAAGAAATAAAACTTTTTCACTGATATTTGTTCTTTTTGTACCAGCTAACTTTTTTTATCATTGTACACTTTGTCTGAGGTATATATCAGAGTTATGCGCCATCAGAGTTTGACTCTCAGTGACTAACACAAGTCTGTTTCGTAACTTTCTTTGTCTTGCATCAGATAAATCTGATAAATATGTGTTTTACTTATATATGCGGCTTCTAAAGTAATAAATCTTGTTGGCGTGAATGAAGAAGTCTGCTTGGAAGCCATATTGTTTCCACACTGACACTTAGTAACTTTGTAAAGCTCACAAACGTATTCTTTTTATTCTTTTATCCATGTTTCAAATATGGCTAGTGGTTAACAGGTATGGAATGGAACACAAAGAACAGGAAATAGAATTCAAAACTGCGAGTTTGCATTGTTATACTGGCCAGTGGTAAATTTAAAACTAGCACACATCATGCATCTATTGACCACTAGCACACATCATGCATCTATTGACCACCCGGGTAGTAACCGATTAGTGATTGAAGCTTTTCTTGGGACTCAGAGAGTTAAACTGGGAAAATTATAGTACTTTACTTATTAATAGAGATTTAAGATTATTTAAAAAAAAAAATAACTCAATTAAAAAAATCTCATCTGTAATATAGTAAAAGGGGAACTAACTGATTATGATATTATGTTGTAACTAAACACAAAACAAATTATGGTTAGAAAATTGAACTAATGGAAAGGACAAAAGGTGCACAGATTCAACCAAATATTTCAAAAAAATTCATTCATTATCAGCAAACAGAACAACTACTACAGGGCTATGTTACTCAGTTTACTCAGGGGTCAAAGTAAAGAAAATGTTGATCATCACGTGCCAGCGTCCTGCCAGCGTCCCTATCCCTAACACGGGCATAGAAAGATCAATAATACAATACATTTCCTCACCTTGATCTACATACCTGGTCTTGCAGGCATAAAGAAAATGAGTGAGCGGACCAAGTGGCAAGCATTGCACTAAGGCATGTGGAAAGAAGCATGGACAGAGCAGATATCGTGAATGTTGTACAGACTAGGCAAGTGGATAATGAGGAATCCCTGACACCAACTTGATTGCGCCACATGGGAGTAAAGCATGGTGAAGCACATCTGTGCCATCATTGAGACCAAGATAGGAGACAATATAACCAGCTTCTCATGGGAACAATTAATAGAAGTACTTTGGAGTGGCTCCTGCATCAGAGGACTGAGAACTCCTGGGAGTGCCCAGTGTGCAGTGACGTCGACAGTGATAACATAACATTAATACAATACAGTTAGTTACATATCCTTTACAGGACATTGCAGAACCAACCCCAACAGCCCCTGGTTGTTGTTTGGGTTATCTAAGCAAATTTACGTCCAGTAGTTTGCCATTGCTTTCTGGACGGTTGGCTTTCCTGATACTGTCAAAACCAACGCAAGGCGCATGGCAGGCAGCTGGGATTGAACCTGGCATTACGAAGCTTTCACATCGACTTAGCAACAGGGCCAACAATACAATACGACTGGCAGTAATTTGTGGGCCACTTGCTAGTTCTCCATGGTCCAGATTTGGCCTCGGGCCACTATTAAGTAGCCTTGAACTACAACATATCTCCACTGAAATTGACCCTTGATTAAGACACTTCTTGATATCTGCTAGATTAAGGTACCCTATAACATTTTTTTTTTTAAATCCTGATGTATAATTGTCTTGCCTAGTGGTTTATGTTCTCTTCTTCTTTTGTCCTATATACTCTTTATTATTGGAGCAAAAGCCCTCAACCTGCTGTTCTTTTAAGAATTTAAGATTCTCCTTCATTAAATGATTTTGTTTGTGCTGAAGAATTTATCTGTCAATGTCATTATTAATACTTGCTTGTCATTATCTTGTTCTCAACTAATTAGGGGTGCAAATAAAATTCCCTCATTATATAAGGTAAAGATGTGTTGGGCACATAATGAGGAGACATGGGCAGATAATCATTAAACAGGAACCGAAATGGAAAACAAATGATTTGAGAAAATGAGGATGTTCAAGAAAAATCTTAAGAATATTTTTAGGATACCATCCATTTTATTGAAAGAACTGCACAGGCGAGAGCAGGATGAAGGACTAGACTGTGATCCCCTTGTACAGTATGTAACACCATGACGAGATAATGATGATCATTTAATGTCAGACACCACTACATGGCTATTCCCTATCACTACGCTGTAATTCCATACCACTACATTGTAACTGCATACTGCTACATGGTAATTCCCTACCACTACATTGTAACTCCATACCACTACATGGCAGTTCCCTACCACTACTTTATAAGTCCATACCACTACATGGCAACTCCCTATCACTACGTTGTAATTTCATACCACTACTTTATAACTGCATACCACTACATGGCACTTCCCTACCTTTATATGCCTATTCCCTACTACTGTATCATAACTCCGTACCAGTACACTGTCAGCGTCTGTGGCTTAGACGTGAATGCGCTTCATAGTGCCGGGTTCGATCCCAGCTGCAGGCATGTGCCGGTTTTGAAAGTTGTATCAAGAAGCAGCAGAAAGCAATGGCAAACTACTAGACCTAAATTTGCCTAGAGAAACCACAACTGCCAGAAAATGCTGGTGTTGGTTCTGCAACGTCCTGTAAATGATACACAACTAATAACCAATACACTGTTACTCCCTATCACTAGATTATAACTCGCTACTACCACATGGTAACATTACCATCTCTCAACTACTACATGGTAACATTACCATCTCTCAACTACTACATGGTAACATTACCATCTCTCACCTACTAAATAGTAACATTACCACATTACCATCTCTCCACTACTGCATGGTAACATTGCCATCTCTCCACTACTACATGGTAACATTACCATCTCTCACCTACTACATGGTAACATTACCATCTCTCCGCTACTACATGGTAACCTTGCCGTCTCTCCACTACTACATGGTAGCATTACCGTCTCTTCACTACTACATAGTAACATTACAATCTCTCCACTATTACATGGTAACATTACCAACTCTCCACTACTACATGGTGACATTACCATCTCTCCACTACTACATGGTAACATTACCATCTCTTCACTACTACATGGTAACATTACCATTTCTCCACAACTACATGGTAACATTACCATCTCTAAGCTACTACATGTTAACATTACCATCTCTCAGCTACTACATGGTAACATTACCATCTCTCAACTACTACATGGTAACTCCTACCATTTCTCCACTACTACATGGTAACTCCTACCATCTCTCCACTACTACATGGTAACTCTTACCATCTCTCCACTACTACATGGTAACATTGCCATCTCTCTAATACTACATGGTAACATTGCCATCTCTCCACTAATACATGGTAACATTACCATCTCCCCACTACTACATGGTAACATTACCATCACTCCACTACTACATGGTAACATTACTATCTCTCCACTATTACATGGTAACATTACCATCTCTCCACTACTACATGGTAACATTACCATTTCTCCACTACTACATGGTAACATTGTCATCTCTCCACTACTGCATGGTTACATTACCGTCTCTCCACTAATACATGGTAACATTACCATCTCTCCACTAATACATGGTAACATTACCATCTATCCACTACTACATGGTAACATTACCATCTTTTTACTACTACATGGTAATAATACCATCGCTCATTTACTACATGGTAACTCCTACCATCTCTCCACTACTACATAGTAACTCTTACCATCTCTCCACTACTACATGGTAACATTGCCATCTCTCCACTACTACATGGTAACATTGCCATCTCTCCACTACTACATGGAACATTACCATCTCTCCACTACTACATGGTAACTCCTACCATCTCTCCACTACTACATGGTAACATTACCATCTCTCCACTACTACATGGTAACATTGCCATCTCTCCACTACTACATGGTAACTCCTACCATCTCTCCACTACTACATGGTAACATTGCCATCTCTCCACTACTACATGGTAAAATTACCATCTCTCCACTACTACATGGTAACATTACCATCTCTCCACTACTACATGGTAACATTGCCATCTCTCCACTACTACATGGTAACTCCTACCATCTCTCCACTACTACATGGTAACATTGCCATCTCTCCACTACTACATGGTAACATTACCATCTCTCCACTACTACATGGTAACATTGCCATCTCTCTACTACTACATGGAACATTACCATCTCTCCACTACTACATGGTAACATTGCCA